CTTTCAAACATAATTTTTAAGTTCTGTGCTGCTATTCCTTTTGTCTTGTGTTGCTTCACAGTTGAATGTAGTAGAAATCATTTAAACCTATGCTGTATAAGCTTACAACACACTATAGATCGTAGTTAAAATTTCCTCAATGTATGCATTATTGCTTTGCAAAATAAATTTTAAAAGCAGCTGAGTTGTTTCCTACTTCTTACAACAATGCTACTGTGTAGGAATCTGTGACAATTGGCTCAGTCAGTGTTTTTCTCCTTCAAAATCATCAACCTGGGATCAATTTAGTGATTCAATGTAAAATGATTAATTAGGCCTGCAGTATGGCTTACTTACTTGGTAGAAACTATGTATGTTTGTAAACAGGATCCTGTCCTCCAAATTAAAGCAATTTGGACAAAAGCTTGGGGCTAACTATTCCTCCTGTATTCTCCATAGCAACTCTTCCTGAATAATTAGTTCACTTTTTCTGATGCAGTATGAATGAATGTTCCCGATGAAAACTTTTGGGCATGTATCTCGTTTAGCATTACTTAAATTTATTATGGTAATACAAAACTAGTAATCCTTAATGAGAAGATTGTGTCCGTGCAGCCCCTTGAACATGCTCTGCTATAGAAGTCTCACGGGTGATAGGCTATTGGCCTCCATTCCATCTATCTGTTCCCTTAACTGCCTTAGCTCAAAACTCTTTCCAACACAGCTTTGAACATATACAATGACCCAGCTAAACCTTTCTGCAGTACAGAATTACTAAAATTCACAACCTTCAGAAGAAGTTCTTTCATCTCCATCATGAGGATTTACTGCAAAAAAAATTGTACAACCTTGTGACTCGTTTGGTTCCTAATCCCTGTGTTGGCTTTTAGAAGGAACTTTCCATATTGTTCTGCCAGTTCAGTCCCCTCAGCTCTTTGTCAATGGCCCAACAATCTTTCCCTTCAATTATTTATTCAGTTTGCTTTAAGACCTACTGTTGAATCTTCAATGAATCCCTACAGTGTGGAAACAGGCCATTTGGTCCAACAAGTTCACACTGACCCTCTGAAGAGCATCCCACCCAGACTCAGTTCCCCGTAACCGTGCATTTTCTGTGGTTAATGCACCTAACCTACACATCCCTGGACACTATGGCTAATTTAGCATAGCTAATCCACCTAACCTGTGCACCTTTGGACTGTGGGTGGAAACCCACGCAGAGACAGGAAGAATGTGCAAACTGCACACAGATAGTCACCTGAGGGTGGACTCAAACCTGGGTCCCTGGTGCTGTGAGGCAGCAGTACTAACCACTGAGCCACAGTGCTGCCATATCCTCGGAGTGCATTCGGATCATCATAAATTGTTTAATGTCTTAATTTTATTAATGGGTCTTTACCAACTATCTTAAATCTGGTTACCAACTCTTGGGTATATCCAAAAGATTGATATGTATCTAGTATATGGGGTTGAAGAAAGTTAATGTACTTTATGTTTCAGTTTATTTCTCATTTTCAGCTCGCATCACTGGTGAGCAGCAATGTGAAAGAGGCTCACCCTGTCAGTACACAGCTTCTCCATCAGGAAGACCTCAGCTGTGCCTCTTCATGGCAATACTTGGAAACTAGGCCCCTTACAGCTCCAGGTTAAAGCCAAAAGGAATGGTTTGACCACCTTAAACATATAATAAATGCTCCATCAGTTATCTGGTCCCTACCCGACCTTGCATCCTGTCACTCTTCCCACCTAATACCCTCCTTCCTGGCACCCTTTTCTCACCTTAACGTACTTCATCTTTCACAGGAACTGTCTTAAGTGGTTGTCTGTGATACTGGATGTTTTGTGAATGACAGAACATGGCAACTGATTGCTGTAAAAAAAAAAGCACAGTGATCCTTCCTCTGACAATCCAGTACTATGAGCCATCTGACAGATTTAAAGTATTCCCTGCAGTTCTTAAGTTGCCCTGCTCAGAATCTCTTTATAGAAATGTGGAGCTTTCTCAATGTAAAAAAGTGACAGTCTGAGTGTGGTTGTTATTCCTCGCAAAATCTGCCCTAATAACTCAGTTTCTTGGCACAGCATGCTGTCTGACCTAGGAACCGTAGTAAGCCATTCAGGCCATCGAGCCTGCTTTGCCATAGAGTCGTACAGCACGGAAACATACACTTTGGTCCAATTCATCTATGCTGACCAAGTTTCCCAAACTAATCGCATTTACCTGCATTTGGCCCCTATCCCTCTATAACTTTCCTATTCAAGTACCTGTCCAAATGAGTCTCAAATGTTGTAACTGTTCCTGCATCTACCATTTCCTTTGGTATTTCGTTCCACACCTGAACAACACTGTATGGAAAACATTGCCCCTCAGGTCCCTTTTAAACCTTCCTCCTCATACCTTAAAAATATGCCCTCAAGTTTTGAACTCCCCTACCCGGGGAAAAAAGACCTTTGCTATTCATCTTATCTATGCCCCTCATGATTTTATAAATCTCTATAAGATCACCCCTCAAACTTCTACACTCCAGTGAAAATATCCTCAGCCTATCCAGTTTCTTCTTATTACAAAATGTCTATAGCAGCACACAAACAAGTAAAAGATGTTGCAACCAACTGAGAGAGGCCATTTAATAAGATCACGTGATACCTTTTACCTACATGAACCCCATAAACCTTTACACCATTAATAATTAAAAATAAAACCATAACCTCAGAAGCTGCTACTATGCATAGACCTAGGAGATCCACACAAAAAGAATTGGAGGGAACATAGGTTCCAAGCACTGCTTGCAGGTGCAATGGGAATTACATGTACTTCTTTCAATTTAATATACTTTATTTACCGCTTATGGTAGTATCTCTATTGGAGAGGCCAAACACAGGTCAGATAAATGCTGTGTGAAACACCTCTGGTCAGTTCACAAGCATAACCTCAAGCGGCTGGTTGCTTATTTTCATTTCCACCTTAGTCTCTGGCCTTGGCCTGTTGCACAGTTCTAATTAATCTCAATCCAATATCAAGTAGCTGCTTCCCATCTCTCATTTAAACATTGTCAAACTGAAAAGTTGAGTCTGGAAGGCTGTACAATCTCAGACTCTGCCCATTCCCCCCCCAAAGAGGGGGTCCACTTGCCAACACCAAAGATAGCTATCAGCCACCTGCATAGGTGGCGAAGATGATGTCGCACCACTGCTATGAAACTTCTGGCGATCCTGAGCCTTGCTGCTGAGGGGCTGATGCCACCCAACCACCCCCTTGCTAATGACTGCACCCGATACCCCCTGCCCCCCTCCCCCCTCCCCCAATCCCTTACTGCACAGACTCCCACATTGGCTACAAATTCTGCTGAACACATCTTCCATAGGCATATTCGTTGATTTCTTCGTATGTCTTGTTATCACTTTCATTTCTCCCATACAAGGAATAATTAACTCTTTTGTCATTTTCTCTCCTGTTTTAGACCTGACAGACATTTACTTGTCCTTCCCCTGCCCCTATCCCATCTCATTTCACTCTAAAATTGTAGCATTTCTAACTTTTTCCTAGTTCTGATGAACGGTTATTAACGGATTCTCTTTCCACCTATATTGCCAGACTTGCTGAGAGTTTCCAGCATTTTCTGTCTTTATTTTAGCACGTGCCCTTGGTTTCACAGCGCATTGTTCTAAGGAACCGTCCGAAGCGCATATATTTTAAAGTAACCAACTGAAGGTGGATTTGCCAAGTCAATATGAAAACAAGGCTGCACTCAGCAGAATGCATACAACTGCCACCGTGTGGTAACTTAAGGTCATTACAATTGTGCATCTCTTGCAAAAAGACAAGAAATAGGATCAGTGAACCATTCGGCCCCCTTGAGCCTGCTGTGCCATTCAGAGAGATCATGGCCGATCTGATTGTGATCTCAAACTCTGCCTTCCTGTTTGCTTCCCAAAAAACTCGGCTGTCTTTTCGATCAAAAATCTATCTAACTCAGTCCTGAATATATTAATTATGCTGCACCCTGGTGAATTCCAGACTGAGGACCTTAAGGAAAAAATCCTGCTCAAACCAGTCCTAAAAATGGGAGACCCATAATTTTTAAACCACATCCCAAAGTTCTAGAACTCCCCCACAGAGAATCCTCTTGGTATTCATCATGTAGAGGGAAATGGACCAAACGCTGGCAAATGGGACTAGATCAGTTTAGGATATCTGGTCGGCATGGACGAGTTGAACCGAAAGATCTGTTTACATGCTGTATATCTCTATGTCAAGACCCCACAGTATCTTACATATTTTATGTTGTAAACAGAATACACAGATCTCTAACCTTACTGATGCTGAATAGGAACCAGCAGTTGAAACTACCATCTCGGTAATTTTCCACCATCGTCCTAACCTTTCAGGCACTGAGTTTATATCGTTTTACGTATGTAACACTGCTGTGACTTCCGCACATTGCTGTCACCCATCAGTTGGCTGTACATAGACACCAATGGTCCCTGATTCAAGGTCAGCTAGAATGTGAAATGCTTTAAACCCCTGAACTCAACTCAAATCTTTCCATCTATACAATAGCCCTCATTTTGGCAAGAAAGGTTGACAAAACCATGTGAAAGCAAAGTACCTTGAGTGTAAATGGAGCAAAATTTCTTCTACCTTTCCTGCTTGCTTGTCTCATTTTCGATGCTCAATGTCTTCATTCTTCCTCCTGTGGGCACTATCCTAATTGCATGTAGTGTTATATTTTTTCTTAAGTCCCAATGCAGTGACATTAGGCTGGCAATTCAGTGCATAGTCAAAGGAATGCTGCACTGTCAGAAGTGCTTTTTTTTTCTAGTGAGGCAATAAATTAAAGCCTTCTCTTCCTTTCCATATGGATATAAAAAGGTTCAGACGGACTATTTCAAAGAACAGTGCAAGTGTTTTCCTAGGGACCTGACCAATATTTATCCCTCAATCAATATCACTGTAACAGGTTATCTGTGTGGACATTATCACAATGCCATGAGATAAAGCAGTAAGCTTAGTTCCGGAGTCACACTGGGTAAATGCCATTTATTAGAGATGAACCAGGAGTCAAGAACTGTTGGTATTCAGTGGAATCTTTGACAAGGCAATTGTTCCAATTTTATAAAGTTTAACAGTTTGTAATAATATAATGTACTAAACTAACACACTCAATAGGCTGACTGCGTTCCTTCTAGGCTAGGAATTTCTCCCAATTGTGTGCGATTTGAATTTCATCATCATTTTATCCCCGATATCCTGCAATTTTGCTGCTGACTTTCTGGCTGTTATTATCTGTCTCCAGGATAAGTGGTCCAGAAAGTGGAACAAACACTGGCACAAATTTACATTTAAATTGTTGGATGCGGGCAGTGGCAATTACTCAGAGGTTGAGTAAAAAGGGGACGCAGAAACCTGTCCCCAGGCAGGGAGAAAATGCAGCTTATGGTGGGGGCAGTTAAAGATTCATCAGTGCCAACCCACTGCAGGGGCACCTAACTGAACCATTAGATAGGATGTTCGAACTTCTTATCAAAACAGCACAAACCCCATTGAGCACATGAGATTGGAGCAGAAGTCAACTTTCATAGCAAGGCGGAGAATAAGAATCGCTTGATCAGCCACCAACCTTGCAGACGGCCCTGGGGCAGTACATCATTATGGCAACAGTGCTGGCTTGGTATGAAAATTGTTTTTTTTTTTAAAAAGTACACCCAACACTTGCCAGATTTGCCGGTGTGACTGGGAAGTAATAAAATCAAAAGGATTCAACTGCGCTCCACATATTGATTCGGACAAACACACACAAGCACATTCATTTGTTTTACATTGAGAAGCACGCTGCTACAGTGATTGTTATTCAAGAGGCACCGTTCCCAGCTCACAGGTACATGCCATTTATCAGGTAGTCTGACTCCTCCGACGTGATAGGTCGGAGCTTCTTCAGTTTGTGCCTCACCAGCTGCAGCCGACAGCCAATCATCAGCAGGAGCAGGGCAGTGATGGCAAGTCCCAGGGCCAGGGGTAGCACAGCACCTGCAAGACAAATTCAGTGAAATAGACAGCCTCAGGTTTAGGAAAGTTGGGGGTGGGGGTGCGTAATGGGTAGAGATGAAGGTTGGGGTTAAAAAGTAGACAAGGACCCCCTACCCCCAGACGCACACATCCCATCCCCACCTCATGCAAGACTCCTCTCTTGTTCAATGTCTCTTGACTACATTCAGTCCCCAATTGCTGACCAAAAGGAGACTTTTGAAAGGAAATCTCACTCAATGCTAGTGTTTCCTGGAGAATTGGAGGTGCTGACCTTCATTGGGAGCTCCAGCTGAGCGCAGCTCTGCATTGGGCATTGGATTTCACTACAATTCATCCAGTGAAAAGGATGACAGAAATAACTGACCTGTCTCTGGGACTGGGTGACCTCCTCTTCCATGGCTGATCTTAGACATCAGAACATCACCTTCACTTGTTTCAACTGTAGTCGTCTCTAAAGGGTCATCACCTGAACAAACATTGAAAAACAAATTCAGAAACACGGCTGTGCTAACCTACACAGGATACCACTTTACAACTGTTGACTGGATTGAAACAACTGATGTGGAGGTGTCGGTGTTGGACTGGAGAGGACAAGGTCAGAAATCACACAACACCAGGTTATAGTCCAAAAGGTTTATTTGAGAACACAAGCTTTCGGAGCTTCACTCCTCCTCAGGTGTTAACACCTGAAGGAGTGAAGCTCTGAAAGCTAGTGTTTTCAAATGAACCTGCTGGACTATAACCAGGTGTCATGTGATTTCTGACCTTGAAACAACTGAGTCAACAATTAGGAGAACAAGGTAATTTATTAGGTAGAGTGAGAAACAATATATACCCGAAATGAGGTTTGACTGACATCATGTTGGCAAGTCTTTAGGTGTCTCACAACAATAGATAGAGAGATTGGGGGGTGGGGGGGGAAGACAGAGAGAGAGAGAGAGACAGACAGAGACATAAAGGAAATGAAATGTAGAAAGACGGAAAGCAGAATAGAGTCTACAGAGTCACAAACACATCTTAAGTGAGTGAGCAAAAACTTGGCAGATGGAATGCAATGTGGGAAAATGTGAAGTTATACACTTCGGCAGAAAATGTAGAAGAGCCGAAGATTATTTGAATGGGCAAAATTGCAGAAAGCTGAGGCAGCAAGGGTTTTGGGGTTCCCAGTGCATGAATCACAAAAAGCTGGCATCCAAGTTCAGCAGGCAATAGAAAAAGGCAAATGGAATGTTGACTTTTCTTTCAAAGGGAATGGAGTGTAAAAATAGGGAAGTCTTGTTAAAACGATACCAAATACTAGTTAGACTACAGCTGGAATACTGTGCACAGTTTTAGACCAAGGAAAGATCCACCATCATAGTACGCATTCCAGAGGAGGTTCACTGGTTCACTGATTCTGGGTATGGAGGGAGTTTTATTTTAATGAGGAGATGTTGAGTAATTGGGTTTGTGCTCACTGGAGTTTAGTAGAATGAGGGGAGGCTTTACTGAAACTTATAAGATCCTTAGGGGGCTTGACAGGGTTGATGCGGAAAGATGGTTTCACCTTGTGGGAGAGTCAGGGACCAGATAACAAGCTGAGAGTAAGGGATTGTCCATTTAAGATTCAGATGAAGAAGAAGTTCTTCTCTCAGAGGATAGTGAATCTGTGGAATTCTTTACTGCAGAGGACTACTGAGGCTGGGTTCTAAGTATAGTCAAGGCTGAGACAGACAGATTTCTAATCATTATGGGGATAAGGTATGAAAGTGGATTTGAGGATAATTACATTAGCCACGATTGCACTGAATGGTATAGCGGACTCGATGGGCCAAATCGTCTACTTCTGCTCCCAAGTCTTATAGTTTTACAGTAGAAAGCTAGAAAGAACTTGAATTTAAATATCACTTTCCAGATCTTCAGGTCAGCCAAAAGGACTACAAAGATAAAAACAAATTTTTTAGAAGTTCAGTCATTGTATTTCAGACAAACGCACAGCAAGCATGTTGCCCACAACAAAGTCCCCAAAACCAAGTATAAACATATAAATAGTTCCAGAGATAGTAGGAGCTGCAGATACTGGAGAATCTGAGATAACAATGTGTAGAGCTGGATGAATACAGCAGGCCAAGCAGCATCAGAGGAGCAGGAAGGCTGATGTTTTTCTGAAGAAGGGTCTAGGCCCGAAACGTCAGCCTTCCTGCTCCTC